CCCCAAAACCCCAAAACCCCAAAACCCCAAAACCCCAAAACCCCTGATTAAGAATTGTTAGAGGAGTGGGATGTAAATAAAATTTAACGAAGAATTAATTAAATTTTAATTCTAAATAACAATCTAGAGAATCATGGTAATATTAATCACTCATATCTAATCTAATCATACAGAGTTCTTAAGTTGAAATGCAATACAATCATTAAGACGAGCAATATAATGAAAACGATGATCAATAACAACAAGATAACCAATATGATGAATAAAACGATAATCAAAACGCTCCATAAGAGATGGATTTGAACGTTTATGAGGATGATGATGATGAGACCCTTCACAGAAAGCTGATAGCCGCTAAAATTGCCAGAAAAAGAGCAGAGGAGGATATGAAGCTATTGGCCAATAGAATTCACTTACTCAAGCAAGAAGAGTAAAAGGTAACTTTACTACACACTATTATCTGTTTATTTATAATAATTTGTGTTTAGGCTTGGAAAAAGATTGATGAAACTAAAAAGAAGGCCAGAGATATTATGTCTCAGAGATAAAGAAATTAGGAGCATTTACAGTAAAAAATGGAGAGACAGAGACAAAAGGAAGAAGAAGAGGCATAAAGAATTGCTTAAAATCGTGCCTACAAAGATCAACTTAAGCAAAATATTGAAAATTAGAAGAAGGGGTATGAAGAGAAGGTCAAAAATTAGGCTGACTATGTGAAGCAAGAGAAAAGTGATCTAAAGGATCAAATGCACATCTAAAAGCAATAGGAATACCTAAGAGCAACCCAAATGAAACAAATTATCAAGACTCAATAGAGTCAACTTAAAGATAAGAAAGTTAGAGACTTTGAGGAGAAACAAGCCAAGGCAAGAACCTAAATTGAAGAGAAAATGTACAGAGAAGAGCAACAAAGACTTGAACACGAAGCTATGGTAGCAAGAATGGAACAAGAAGAGCTTGAACTTATTAAGAGACTTTAGAACACTCAAATGCTTCAGAAAGCAGCTTATGATGATTTAGAAACAGCTTTGTAAAATGGTTAAATTCCAGAAGGTATGCTAAATGAGAGACCAGGTACTGGAGCCAAGAAAACTGCTGGAAAAATTTCCCAACTGAGAAGATGATTAGCTCTTTGAGATGAGATATAGATGCAATATATATTAAGTTTAAACTATCTTGTTCAAGATAAAGGGATATATAATTATGTGAAATTGAATATTCCTTAAAAAATGCTATCTCACGGGGTTTTGGGGTTTTGGGGTTTTGGGGTTTTGGGGTTTTGGGG